CAAAAAAGCCAACACAGTTCTAGGCTGCATAAACAGAGGGATAGAATCAAGATCACGTAAAGTGTTAATACCACTTTATAATCCCTTGGTAAAGCCATACTTGGATTACTGCATCCAGTTCTGGTCGCCACGATATAGAAAAGATGTGGAGACTCTATAAAGAGTGCAGAGAAGAGCAACAAAGATGATTAGGGGACTAGAGACTAAAACATATGAAGAACGATTGCTACTGGGTAGCAACTGGGTATGTCTACTTTAATAGAAAGAAGGAGTAGGGGAGACATGAAAACAGTGTTTCCGTCTTTGAGGATGAAGAAGAGGGAGTCAAGCTATTCTCCAAAGCCCCTGAAGGCAGGACAAGAAGCAATGGGTGGAAACTAATCAAGGAGAGAAGAACGGTTGCAGGAACTGGGTATGTCTAGTTTAATAGAAAGAAGGACTAGGGGAGACATGATAGCAGTGTTCCAATATCTCAGGGGCTGCCACAAAGAAGGGGAGGCAGCCTATTCTCCAAACTACCATATTTTTCGGAGTATAAGACACACCAAGATTTTGAAGAGGCAAATTAAAAAAAAAGTTTTTGCACTCTGCAAACCTCAAAAAAACGGCCCGTTGTTCATGAAAATAGGTCCGTTTCCCCCCCCCCCCAAAAAGGGCATGAATAGCGCTTAGGAGGCTTGTAGAGTGTTCGGGGAGGGGGGGTGCAAAAACGAGCAAAACTGACCCATTTTTCGCAAAAATGGGCCCGTTTTTTGTCAAAAAGGAGGCATTGGGAAGCCTATAGAGTGGAGCACTATAAGCTTCCCAATGCCCCCTTTTTGACAAAAAAACGGCCTTTTTTCACAGCCTGTTTTTTGCTCATTTCTGCCCTCCCCAGCCCCCAGGAGCTCTCTGAAAGCCTCCAAAAAACTATGCACGGCCATTTTGGTGAAGGGGCGGGGTTTCAGGGGGCAAAAAAAATGCTGTATTCTCTGTATAAGACACACCCATATTTTCAGCCTCTTTTTTGAGGGAAAAAGGTGCGTCTTACACTCCGAAAAATACGGTAATCAAAGGAGAGAAGCAACTTAGAACCAAGGAGAAATTTCCTGTCAATTAGAACAGTTAATCAGTGGAACGACTTGCCTCCAGAAGTTGTGGGTGCTCCATCGTTGGGGGTGGGTGGGTGGAGTGGGGTGTTAAGAAGAGATTGGACAGCCATTTGTCTGGAATGGTATAGGGTCTCCTGCCTAAGCAGGGGGTTGGACTAGAAGACCTCCAAGGTCCCTTCCAACTCTGTTAATCTATTCTACGTGAAGCCAACATCTCTTCTTTTCTCATTCCGACAGAGTGCAGACCTGTGGATGATCAGAAGGAGAGAAGCTGTTTGCAGGAAGGAGGTGAAGAAAGCGATCTGTGCTGGATCCCCCAAAGACAATTTGTGGAGAACTTTTCCCGTGTCCCCGAGCAGCGGAAACTCTTCCAGAATCAGACCCAGCCAAAGATTCAGCCAGGAATCCATATACGGAGCAAAGCAGCCATGTCCATCACTTCGGTCATCAATAGGAAGATCTTGGGCAAACCCCTATTATTCCAGATCCAGAGGTCAAGCATCCCGTCTGGGCTGCCCTTGAGACAGGAAACAGACGATAATATCCCGGTTCCCGAGAGACCTTACCATAAGTGTCCGATCTGCGGGAAGACCTTTGGTCAAAGCTCTCATCTCAGTTTCCACCAGAGGACCCACGACGTAGAGAAGCCCTACAAGTGCACCCAGTGTGGGAACAGTTTCCACTCACGCCAGGGCCTCATCTACCACCAACGCAGCCACGCCGGCGAGAAGCCGTACAAATGCTCCTTCTGCGGGAAAAACTTCAGCCAGAGTTCTCACCTCCTGGTGCATAAGAGGAGCCACACGGGCGAGAAGCCCTTCAGGTGTCCGACCTGCGGGAAATGCTTCAGCCGCAACTCCCTTCTGACCATCCACCAAAGGACCCACACGGGGGAGAAGCCGTACGCCTGCGTGCAGTGTGGCAGCCAGTTCCATTCGGGCTCGGGGCTGATTAACCACAAGAGGATTCACGCAGGAGTGAAACCGTACAAATGCTTGAAGTGTGGGAGGGATTTCATCCGGAAGGCCCACCTCACCCGGCACCAGAGCGTACACAGCGATGACAAGGACGGCACGTGACCTGGCTTGTGAGGGACCAGGCAGAGAAGCTCCGTCAAGAACTCACTGCTTAAGTTAGATCAGGGATCCCCAATCTGTGGGCTGTGGGCCACTACCAGGCTGTGGACTAATTGCCATCAGGCCTCATGAGCCGCCAGCCAGCCCACTCACACAAGCCTCCCTCTCAGCACTGTGGCCGGGCAACAGCCCCACTCGTGCAAGCCTTGTTGCAGGCGCTTGTGACCCCACTGGTGTAAGCGGCATTGCAGGCTGCCTCAGTCCTCCTCACACGAGCCTCATCCCAGGTGCTTTCAGTCCCACTCGGATGAGACCTTGATTCTCTTAAGGATCTTTTTGATGCTTGGGAGCACCCTGGTTGCACGTCCTAGGCGCTTCCTCGTGGCGACCGCTGGGCAAGGTGCTGGTGGATTTACTCCCCAGCACTTTAGCAAAGAGCCAGGCCATCCCCCGGCGGGGCTAACCTTCCTGCAGGGGTTTACTGCTGGTTACATCGTAAAATCATAAGAAAAATCCTGGCCCCTCTGGAGCCCAGGATAACAGCATTCAAGAGAGGCTAGCAGGAGCCATGGAAGCTCCCCATGATGTTCCTGGTTTTAGCCACGATAGTTCTTGGTCTAGCATGTTCTCGTGCATCTGTGGCTGGCAATTAAAATCTCAGCGTGGCCCGAGTACGCACATGTGCCCACAAACATCCCACAGATGTGAACGCTGAGAGGTTTGCTATTTTACCTGCGGAGGATGAGGCATTGCAATGCCATGCTAACCGCTGCTGGACAACGGGGATGTTAAAGAAAGTTCTCCATGTGTTATTAACCTTACATTTTCCAGGGCGGTCGGCTGAGGCAATTAAGACGTGTGTGCAGTTTATCAAGTGGGCGGGGCCACCCTCTGCCCCAGTGATATCAGACCCTCCTCCACCACCTACCTTGGAGTTTGTATCTGCAGCGGATTTAAATCAAGGGTGCCAACCACCCTGTTCTCCTCCTCCCTAATCACCAGTGGTGGGATTCAAATAATTTAACAACCGGTTCTATGCCCTAATGACCAGCTGGATAGGCGTGGCTCAATGGCCATGTGACTGGGTGGGCGCGGTCAACTCAACGTCACTCACGTCGATGGACGCTTCACCTTAACTGTTACAATGTAATAAGGGTTAACCGGAGAGGCAGTTTCTGTAAGCAGGGCAATAGAGATGAGGCTAGAAACAACACCAGAATGTTTCCTTCCTGCCTTCCTTACAGGATTAGCCCTGTAAAGTGGAAAAAACAAAAGGAGATTTCTTCCAACAAACGGTTCTCCGAACTGCTTAGAAAGTTAACAACCGGTTCTCCCGAATAGGTGCGAACTGGCTGAATCCGACCACTGCCAATTGCCTACCTTGTTAGTATCTGTTTCAGGCCCCGCCAGCATGGAGACTCGCTTTGCTTGACTCCACTATAAGAATCAAGGAGTGGAAGCTGGGGGCTGCAGCATTGCGGTCCATCGCCAGCACCCTTAAGTCCAGTGAGATTGGTGACCACCAGGGTCAGGACCTATCACCAGAGCATGCCCAAGAGTGGTTCCCCTATAAGTGGAGACCATCCATTATCCGACATAAGGCGTAAGGGGAGCAATCGTACTCTATGAAGAGCAAACTTGGCTGTTATCCAGCAGCTCTATAATCTCCGCCGTAAAGACCCCGCAGCCACCGTGCTATCAGGGCGCTGGAGGCAGGCATATCGGGGGCCCAGCACCAGTTCCATCAGGGATGACTGATTTTCAGTCATCTGTGTTCAAAGCGCCAAGCACAGTGGATACCATTCCCCGCCCCTGTGCAGCCATCGGCCCTTTTGTGGTGCCTGTTGGGCGAGGTTACTGTGGCCCTGCAATCTATGACATCGAGTGGGCCTGGCCCGCATTTCTGCCACCGCTGATGCTCTCAGTCATCTTTAGTCCACTTACTTTAATTTGCTGCTAGCAGTTGGGGGTCCTCCTCTTGTGGGGTCCCAAGTGGTTTTCTTACCTAAGATGGACAATCCAGCAGCTCCAGGGGACTACCGTACCCATCTCGATAGCCTCAATTCTTTGGTGCCTATCCTTTCTTATGGTCCAACTTTCACAGCCATTCATTGCAACTGGGAAAACCATAGCCTTGACTATACGCACTTTTGTTGGCAGGGTGATGTCTCTGCTTTTTAGGATGCTGTCTAGATTTGCCATAGCTTTCCTTCCCAGGAGCAAGCGTCTTAATTTCTTGGCTGTAATCCCCCTTTGGAGTGATCTTGGAGCCCAGGAAAATAAAATCTATTTTCAGTGTAGGATTTATTTGGGAAGAAACTTTTAAAAAAAGATTTTTATTAACAAACATGTAAAATATACACACACACACAATTTAGACATACACCACATTTATACAATACAATACGAACAGGAACTTCCTGTTCTTTCTAATAGGAATTTATCAATCGATACCGCTCACCTTATATTATTTCCCCTTCTATTGTATTTCATTTGGATTTCA